AGTAGTAGTAGTAGTAGTAGTAGTAGTAGTAGCAGTAGTAGTAGTAGCAACAGCAGCAGCAGCAGCAGAAATAGTAGTAGTAGTAGTAGACCCTAAACCCTAAACCCAAAACCCCAAAACCTAAACCCTAAACCCTAAACCCTAGACCCTAAACCCTAACCCCTAAGCCCTAAACCCTAGAACCCTAAACCCCTAAACGCTAATAAGCTAATAAACCCTAAAACGCTAAAACCCTAAACCCTAAAGCCCTAAATCCCTTAAGCCCTAAACCCCAACCCCTAAACCGTGTACCCCCCCTGAAGGGCCGCGTGGGCTCCTGGGAAGCTTCCGGCCAGGAGCTTTCCGGGGAGGATCCACTGACAGGTGTCATGTGGAGCCTTGGTCTGTCTGGTGCTTAGTAGGGAATGGGGGAATGGGTTATAGGGACTACTACAAGGCACCTTAAGGGACGATCATAGGGATCCATTCCTCCATTCCCTACTAAGCACCAGACAGTGGTTCAGCGGAGAGGTTGAAACTGCAAGGTTTGATTTGGGATTTCAGGGTTTAGGGTTTAGGGTTTAGGGTTTGGGGAGGGGAGTGGAGCCTTGGTCAAAGGAAACTACAGGTGGGGAGTTTAGGGTATATAGGGCTTCTATAAGGCTTCCATAAGGTCTATAGACCTTCCAATATAAGGCTCCTACAGCGGTAACTACCCACCTGAAAATGCCCTAGACCTGGCCCAGGGGAGATGTTGAAACTGTAGGGTTTTAGGGTTTAGGGTTTTAGGGTTTAGGGTTTCTGAAACTTTAGGGTCCTTTGCTTTTTGTTTGTCTTTTCAAGGGCTCTTTTTACAGCTGCCAGAGGTACGTGACTCTTCAAGTTGTCGGTTTGGGGTTGCGGGTTCGGGGTAGTTTGAATCAGGAGCTTTACCCAAGGGGCCCAAGTACCCTAAACCCTAAACCCTAAACCCTAGACCCGAAACCCGAAACCCCTAAACCCCTAAACCCCTAAACCCCTAAACCCCTAAACCGCTAAACCCTGAACCCTGAACCCTAGACCCTAAACCCTAAACCGGGTTTGAGGCAAAGAGTATGGACACGGACCTTCCAAGGGCCCCTTTAATAGAGCCCTTGTGGTCCCTGATGGTGGGTATGCAGGGACCCTAAAGCCTAAACCCCACATGTAGGGACCCTGAACCCCCAACTCTACATGTAGGGACCCTAAACCCCAAATGTGGGGACCCTGAACCCTCAACCCTGAATGCAGGGACCCTAGACCCTAAACCTTGTAGTTGGGAGGTCTAGGGAATTTTGGCCCCAAACCCTGATCCCTGAAACCCTAAATCCCCAGATCCCTAAACCCTATAAATCTCTTAACCCCTTAACCTAAAAGCCCTAAAGCCCTAAACCCTAAATCCCTAAGCCCTAAACCCCTAAACCCTATAAGCCCTAAACCCTAAATCCCTGAATTAATCCCTAAACCCTAACCCCTAAACCCTAAATTCTACCCCCGAACTCTCTAAATCCCTAAATCCCTAAATCCCTCAACCCTAAACCCCTAAACCCTAAACTCGAACCCCAAACTCTCTAAGCCCTAAGCCCCTAAGCCGAGCCCATCATTGCAGGTAGTAGGCGCCAGCACCCGTCAGGCTCAAGTCCTCGGGCCGGGATTCAAGTTTAGGGCTTTAGGGGTTTAGGGTCTTTAGGGGTTTCGGGTTTAGGGCTTAGGGTCTTTAGGGTCTTTAGGGTCTTTAGGGTCTTTAGGGTTTAGGGTTTAGGGTCTTTAGGGTTTATTGCTTTAGGAGTTCAGGATTCAAGTTTCGGGTTTAAGGCTTTAGGGGTTTTGGGGTCTAGGGTTTAGGGTCTTTAGGGGTGTAGGGTTTAGGGTTTATTGTTTAGGGTTTAGGGTTTTAGGGGTTTAGGGGTTTAGGGTTTGGGGTCTTTAGGGGTTTTGGGGTCTAGGGTTTAGGGTCTTTAGGGGTGTTGGGTTTAGGGTTTTTATTGTTTAGGGTTTAGGGTTTTAGGGGTTTAGGGGTTTAGGGTTTGGGGTCTTTCGGGGTGTCGGGTTTAGGGTTTATTGTTTAGGGTTTAGGGCTTTAGGGGTTTAGGGGTGTAGGGTTTAGGGTCTTTAGGGTTTTGGGGTTTAGGGTTTAGGGTCTTTAGGGGTGTAGGGTTTAGGGTTTATTGTTTAGGGTTTAGGGTTTTAGTGGTTTAGGGGTTTAGGGTTTAGGGTCTTTAGGGTTTTGGGTTTTGGGCTTAGGGTCTTTAGGGGTGTAGGGTTTAGGGTTTATTGTTTAGGGTTTAGGGCTTTAGGGGTTTAGGGTCTTTAGGGTTTTGGGGTTTAGGGTTTAGGGTCTTTAGGGGTGTAGGGTTTAGGGGTTTAGAAGTTTAGGGTTTAGGGTTTGGGGTCTTTAGGGCTTTTAGGGGTTTAGGCTTCTTTAGGGGTTTTAGGGTTTAGGGCCTAGGGGTTTCAGGGGTTTTAGGGGCTTTAGGGGTTTAGGGTTTAGGGGTTATAGGGGCTTAAGGGTTTAGGGTGTTTAGGGGTTTTAGGGGTTTAGGGCTTTCAGAGGTTTAGGGTTTAGGGGTTTTTAGAGTTTAGGATTAGGGTTTGGGGGCTTTAGGGGTTTAGGGTTTTAAGGGTTTTAGGGGTTTAGTGTCGTTAGGGTTTAGGGGTTGGGGGTTTAGAGGTTTAGGGTTTAGGGTTTTAGGGTTTTAGGGGTTTTAGGGGTTTAGAGGTTTGGGCTTTGGGGGTCTAGGGTTTAGGGTTTTAGGGGTTTTAGGGTTTTGGGGTTTTAGGGGTTTGGGGGTTTTGGGTTCAGGTTTAGGGTTTAGGGTCTTTAGGGTTTTGGGCTTTAGGGGGTATAGGGGTTTCAAGGGTTTAGGGCTTTAAGCGTTTAGGGTTTAGGGGTTTTAGGGTTTAGGTTTATATATTTTAGGGGTTTAAGGGTTTTAGGGCATAGGGCTTCGGTGGGTTATTAAATGTGGGTAAACCCTGCCCTCAAAGTACAGCCATAGTATTGAGAAACACTATACGACCCTTCTGTGCAGCAGTCCTGTAATACATAGAAAACCCCCATAGAAGCCTTCTGAACACCCTACGGAATCCTAAACCCTAAACCCTAAACCCTAAAACCCTAAAGCCCTAAAGCCCTGAAGGGCACACCAGGCCCCTGAACCCTCAAGGCCCAAACCCTCACTCCTCGACCCTGAACCCTGAACCCTAACACCCAGAACCACCCTAAACTAACCCTAAACCCTAAACCCTAAACCCTAAACCCTAAACCGAACCGCCCTAATGGATCCCTGTCAAGGTTCTTTAAGGATCCCTTTCAGAGCTCCTTTCAGGTCGCTCAAAGCGACCCTATATCTGCAGTCTCCATTGTAGTTCCCTTTTGGATTTAGCCAATTATATAAATAGGGTTTAGAGTTTAGGGTTTAGGGTGTGTGTATATATATATATATATTAGGTGCCCCGAAGGCATTCAGGGTTCGTAAAGGTCCGTCGAAGGGCTAAGTCGGGAAGACCCTCGACAAGGCTGCGCACTTCCGTTGCCATGGGCTCTCGAGGTCGGATCTAGGACTCTTGGGTTTTAAGGGTTTAGGGTTTAGGGTTTAGGGTTTAGGTTTCTAAGGGTTTTTGGTGGTTTGGGGGACTTTAGAGGGGTGTAGGGCTCTGGGGTTTTAAGGGTTTGTAAGGGTTTCTGGGTGGTTTGTGGGGCTTTCGGGGTGGTGTTAGGCGTTCTAGAAGGTTTTAGAGGGTTTAGGCTTGGGGTGTCAGGTGTTGTTAAGGGTTTAGGGTTTAGGGGTTCGCGGCTTTCGGGCTTTAGGGGTTCAGGGCTTACAGGGCTTTTGAGTTTGTGCTTCAGGTGTAGAGCCAAGGACCCAGGCTTGGGGTGTAGGGTTCCGTTTGTTTAAGGGCTCTGCAAAGGCTCAACATCGGTTTTATAAGGATTCTAAGCCTGTTTTGGAAGGTTCCACGGGCTTGCTTATCTGGCCTGGTGCTTTAGATGAGTTGAGTTGCTTCGGCTTCTTATTTGGTGCTCAGGGTTCATGTGCCTGGGGATTCCCGAAAAAACTGGGCGCATTGCGCTGTAGGCTTTGAACATGCAATCCCCGCCGGGAAAGAGCGACTTCGAATCGGAACATGCTACATAGGGTTGACGGTAACAAGTAACAGGCAAGGAATGGAACATGAAATCAGCATCTGAGAGAACTTGAGAAATTGTCAGAAATTGTGAGCTAAGTTAAGGTGGAACCTACATATCAGTACAGCGGAGTGAAGGCTTCCAGGCTGTGCATGGTCCAACTCTGTGGCTTCCGCCATAAACCCTAAACTCTAGGCCCTAAACCCTAAACCAAAGCCCCAAACCCTGAACCGAAAGCCCTAGGCCCTAAACCTAAACCCTTATCCTTGAGGATGTAGTGACTCATTGCTGTTGATGCTTTATGGGTCGATGCGTACTTGGGCTTCCGGCAGAGGTATTGCCACAGTATTGTAGGCTGGATTTTGGGCGAACAGATACATCCCAAAACCCAGAACCCCAACCGTATGATGTTGTGGAGTTGTCGCTGCTCCCGCTTCGCCGACATAGAACCTAACATAAAATGCTACAATCACGGGACCTACTCCGACAAACCCTCTACCCAAAGCTCACCGTCCAAGGGTTCAGGGTTTCGACACCGCAATGACACAACGGCATCGAAAGTACTGGGCAGTCAACACTAAACTTTTTGTGGCGTTGATACAGAGAACTTAGTGATTCCAGTACGGTTTGGCGGGATACCATATAGCTCAGCACAATCAGGAGCCCTGAGGAATACAGTTTTGGATTGTTCAGGCTTTGGCATTACTTAAAGGGAGATGAATCAGCAAACATCGCGGTCGCCGTTAGGACCAAGCTTTAGGAAGCATAAATCTTCGTCAACATGCAACTAAATTAGAGAAAGGAAGGACCCCTGCAAAAAATGCTGCAACAGCCCTTATAAACCCTTATGCAACATGGTAACGCCCGTCACAGCCTCCTCATATGAGCTAAGAAGTCGCTCTTCGGTATCTGGGATCTGGTTCGGCTATAAAGCCAGAGGGGTTGAATAAAGCCTTAGGACTTGAGGGCGTAAGGGCTTAAGTTTAGGGCTGAGGTGTTACAGGCCTTATGGTTCGAAGGATCCGGGTTTATCGGCTTAGGCTTTAAAGGTTTAGGGTTGGTCTCATGTGGCTTTCCGGGTCCAGGGTTTGACGGCTACATAGCCCTACCCAAGTCAAGCCACCCACGACCGAAAGTTCCGTTCCATTTCACAAAGGCTTGCTATATTGGAGCTTCTGAAAACAAGGGGTACCTTTTTGGGGGTTCCTTCCAATAGGGATCCGACTACTTTGGTTACTACTGTAGGGTCCCTTATTTCGGAAGCCCCCATATTGTGCGACAGAAAAATCTAAAACCCCAAACCCAAACGCTTCTAAAACTTAAGTCTACACCCTAAGATCCTTCTAGTTGGGAACTAAAACTTAAGTCTACACGATACTAGGTGCTTGTGACAGAAAAATCTAAAACCCCAAACCCAAACGCTTCTAAAACTTAAGTCTACACCCTAAAATCCTTCTAGTTGGGTACTAAAACTTAAGTCTACACCCTAAAATTCTTTTAGTTGGGTACTAAAAGTTAAGTCTACACGCTAAAATCCTTCTAGCGTGGGTACTTCGACCCTCCACAGCCCCTAGACCAGGCGGCTTCATAACTGTGGGATCCTTATATTACCCAAAGGCTCCAAGTAGCAATAGGGTAGCTACTTTGTGGGTATTTGGGCCCCTAAAGTATATACTATACTGACCAGAATAAGCCAAGGGGGACATCGTGGTATACGTATAGACTTATAGCTATATGCAACCTACAACTATTTACGGGAAATATGATTACAAGTTACACGGTTTTTTGTAAGGTGGGGAAGGGTGATGAGCGTTGGCGGGGTGGACTACCTCCTGCTGCGCTGGGCTTGTAATATATAGGGCTCAATAATTACTTATATTATTGTGGGGGTTCCTTGATATAACTACAGTAAAATATACCCGAAAGCCCTATTCTATTTTTTAAGGTCCCTACCAGGACTACCGAGGCGTCCCTCGCGACGGAGATCATCTCCCTCTCCCGCCTTCGGTGGGCTATGCCCGGGCAGAAGTCGGGTGCTGGTCACGTGGTCCAGTGGATGCTGCTCTGCCCGCTAGGGAACCTGTGCCAAAGCATCTTCTTCATTGACGAGCTCCTGGCTGGTTTAGGGTTTAGGGTTTAGGAAGTTTAAGGTTTAGGGGCAGCAAATCCGATTGTCAGTGGTCGCCTGTGCAACAAGGCTTCCTGAGCACCGTCTCACCCGTTTCCAATCCATACTGGAAGATTCTGCGCGTAAACCTGGAACCTCGCAACTGTAAACCTTAAACGCTGAACCCCTCTGAGCAAGTAGCCACGATCAAAAGGCCTAAAGGCTACTATAGGGCTTAAGGCTACATCGTCACGCCCCTCTCAATTCGAGCAAGCCCGCCCAAATCGAGCAAGCCCATATACACAGCGCATCAACCTCCAACGGAGAGGCAAAAAGTAGAAACGGCTTTCCCACAATCAACTTGACAATCAACCCACAAAAAACGCTTCCCCGAGAAAACAAACCCTATAGACCCTACAACAATTCAAGAGATCCTAAGACAGAGCCCTCAATAATTAGAGTAGGGTTTTGAGGTATACTATATTATAGTCATAATGAGGACCCCACCCCCCCACCTCCACACCCCCCAAAAAAAAACTGTTCTAATTATAAAGGCCCCTACATTATCCTACATGTCCTTTATGTTAATCTTCAGCATCTTTGCGAAGGCCTAAACCCCAAACCCCTGAAGCACCCTTCTTGAGAGCCGACGAGGGCTAAAACTGCTGAGGCCAGCGGCCCGCATGCGTGCACCAGGATCAAGCACCTAGAGTGAGAGGTTTAGGGGTAGGGCTAGGGTTTAGGGTTTAGGGTTTGGGGTTTGGGTTATAGGGCTTAGGGTTTAGGGTCTAGGGTTTAGGGCTCAGTGTGAGTGGCCGAGAAATTTGTTTTGAGTATTTTGTGAGAACGTTGCGCAGTGCTTGGGGCGTGGGGGCTTTTAAAGGTTTGAGATCTTGGGGCTTAGGGTTTGGGGTTTAGGTTTTAGGGTTTAGGGTTTTGGTAGGGCTCCTGCGGCTTAGATTTTCAGTTCAGAGTTGATGTTTGGGGCTTCAGGGCTACGGGCTCTGGGCGTCTAGTCAGGAAAGTTACGAGCTTTACTTAAAGGATCATGGGACTTAGTAACTAGGGTTATAAATAGGGTTTAGGGTTTAGGGTTTGGGGTAGGGTAACTATACTTATGACCCCAACAAAGGTACTTTTTAAACTTACTTACTAAGTCTCATGATCCTCCAAGCAGGGCTTGGCGCTTAAGGCTTGGGGTTTTGGGTGGCTCTTGGGTCTTGGCCGATCATAAAAACCGAGGCACTCGAAGAGTTTGAAGTGCACGTGTCAGAACGATACATCCGGATGATTGGGGGGATCCCGAAAATTAGGGTACCTTATTTTGGGGTCCTAAAAATAAGGATCCTATTATTTAGGGTACTATATTGGGGTCCCCTATTTTCGGAAACTCCCATTTGGTGCTCGGACGGTTTGGGGTTTAGGGTTTAGGACGTCCTGTAGAACAGACTGCCTGAGACCCCCACTCGCCCCGAAGAAGAACTTCAGTGCTGCAAGCGCTGCTTTGATCCTTCTCCAAGATACAAGTCAAGCAGACAAAAAATGAACGATACTGCCGAAGCAACCCCTTCAGCTGGCCCTTCACCCTGACCGATAAACCCCAAATCCGGAGACCCCAGACAAGAAACTTCCAAATCCTAAGCCCTGGCTTTTACACCCCCAAACCATTACCGTCGGAAGGAAGTATGTAACGAAGCCATCAGAAAGGAGATCTAAACCGGTACGTAGATAATCTCTCATGGTCTGGGCAAATCTTGCCTGTATCCCCAAACCCTACAAAATAGTATGTTAGGACCCCTTAATTAGAGGGTCTAACCCTTAAAACGGTAGGTTTTTGGATCCACAGGTAAAGCCCCCCATTAAAGCACCCTGTCCGAAATTGGAACCTTCCAGAGGCGGTAGATGTCTTCATTGTGGAGCTCCTGGCAAAGTCACAGAGGCTCACACCCCCCACGAGGACCCCCCACGAGGGCGCGTGAAGATGCTTACAACCAGAGGCTCGAATCATGCAGCTTAATACAATTCCCTACCCTGAACCTTAAACCCTAAACCCTAAACCCTAAACCTTAAACCTTAAACCCTAAACCCTAAACCCCTAAACCCTAAACCCTAAACCCTAAACCCTGAATCCTGAATCGCCAGTTCAAGAGCTGCATTAAACAGACTTCGATGAACCGTGCTGCCTTGAGGACTGACTTTTCAAGGGTTTAGGAGTTTAGGAGTTTAGGGTTTAGGGTTTAAGGCTTAGGGGTTTAGGGTTCAGGGTTTAGGGTTTAGGGTTTAGGGTTTAGGGTTTAGGGTTTAAGGCTTAGGGGTTCAGGGTTCAGGGTTTAGGGTTTAGGGGGCCTGGCGGATGACTCAGTTCTGAGAATCTCAACCTGTCCCCATCAGAAAAAAAACTCGGCTAATCGATGCGGATTCACGGGGTCTCCTAAACCTAAGCCCTAGGTCCTAAACCCCCGAACCCCTAAACCCTAAACCCCAAACCCTAAACCCCTGAACCCCTAAACCCTAAACCCCAAACCCTAAACCCTAAACCCTAAACCCTAAACCCTAGGTCCTAAACCCTAGACCCTAAAGTCTCCGATTGAGCATCGATGGATTTAGGCTAGGACGACTGGTGCTACCACCAACGCCTATCAATCGAGGCTGGGGCATCCTTTAGGGTCTAGGGGTTCGGGGTGGAGGGGTTCATGAGTTTTAAGGTTTAGGGTTTAGGGTTTGGGGTTTAGGGGTTTAGCCGTTTAGGGGTTTAGGGTTTGGGGTTTAGGAGCTTGGGGTTTAGGGTTTTTGCATGCAGGGCCTTCGGGCTTCCTGGACCTTCAGGCCCAAGCCACCGCAACGACACAGGCCAACCAAAATCAAACACGTCACACTCTGAATCCCACAAAAACCGGGAGCCTGAATCCCAACCCCCAAACCCTAAACCCTAAACTCTAAACCCGATAATCCCAAAAAACAACAGGAGCCCTGGGCCCCCAAAACCGAATCGAAGTCCTAAGCCCAATGAGCTGACAATTGCAACAGCCCCCCGATAACACTGTGCACAAAAATAAAAAAAAACATACGGCGCTTTGTAAACCAATTAAGCAAACCTTGTAGACACCCTTTAACGAAACACTATGGGGTCATTTGTTCCCGATGCCTTCGTTCCCAGATGAAGATCCGGGAAGCCACCTGCCGGATTCCCGGGGAGGGCTCAAGCTTTGGGTTTAAGATCCATGTACCTATATGGGGGTTTCCAAAAATAGGGAACCCTAATATAGTACCCTAAATTGTAGGATCCTTATTATAAGGACCCCCAAATAAGGTACCCCGTTTTTTTTGGGGGGGGAAACTCCCATATTATACCCCTTTAGAGCAGGGTCTGGGTTCAAGCTTTGTGGTGTCCATGTTCCTGTATACCTTTCAAGGCTGGTTTAGGGTTAGGGTTGAGGTGCTGAGGGTTTAGGGTTCAGGTGTATGCAGATACTGCGGTGGATTCCTCGAAGTAACGCAGGTGCCGCTTTGTGTACGTATAACCGTAGTACAAAACTTAGGGCATCTGCACATACCATAAATAGATGTGCAAGTGCACCTCAGAGAAGACATGACTATGTGCCGGATGTCTTTGCACGGGCTTATACTCTGTTATCCTCAGCTGCACCATGCCATGACGGAACAGGTACACATTCATGTGGTCATGCAAGGATGCCTTCAACACTGTTAGATAAATGCATGTATACCTACCTACCTGATACGTACATAGATACATACATACATACATACATGCATGCATGCATGCTTTCGTACATCCATAGATACAGGTTACATCGTGTACGTATCTTACGTACATGCAAACAAACATACATGTATGTATGTATGTATGCATGAATGCATGCATACATATATATCTACATATACATATGTACATGCATACATACATACATATATACATACATACATACATTCATACATACATACATACATGCATACATGCATACATACATATATACAAACATACATACATACATAAATACATACATACATACATACATACATACATACATACATGCATACATATGTACATACATAAACGCATGCACACATACATATATGCATACATGCATACATACCTGCATACATACTATCATACATACAATGCATGCATGAACGTAGCTACCTGTACACGTGTATATATGTCTGTATATGTGTGTAAGTATGCATGCATGTATGTAAGTCTGAGTTTGGCACCTACAACACAAGCCAGTGTCCGTATTGGTGTGGGTTAGTCACGGCTAATCCTCACCATCCCGCGCAAATGCATCAAGTCATCAGCTGTTTACCCTGAACCCTAAACCCTAAGCCTAAGCCCTAAACCCTAGAACCTCATTGCGCCACTTCCCTTGGCCTTGAGCTTGGGGCTGTGTCTAAACTCCTGAGCTAACAACAGGTTTAAGGTTTACGGGATCAGGGTAGAGTTTTCAGGGAAGTTGACACTCCATACTTTGAGCTTTTAGCCATCTATACCCACCTCGAAGAAAGCGCCGCAAATCTTCGTAGGTAATCGTTCCTGGCTGACACCCAATCAGAGGGCAGGAGGATGGAGACCGAGTCTAATGTAGGCGCCGAAACAAATCAGAACAGGTTCCCTTAAGGGTTCTGTCAGGGTTGTTTGCAGGGCCTTGCATTAGACTCGGGGCCCTGTATAACTACAGTATATGTGTTCCCCAAACCCCTATACTGATCATTAAGGCCCCGATGGGAGATCCTCTGCCCAGGAGTCATTGTCTTGCAAGATCCTCGATCCTAAACCTGCACAAAAAACGCCATGAGCTATGGAAGCTGTCCTTGTTTGCCTGGAGGAAGGGGCGGGGCTTAGTGTCTTGGTTTGGACTTTCCCTAGGTTCCTGAGTGACCACTACTTAATAAGGGTACCCTTTTTCCTAATACTGGGTGTTAATAAGGAGACCCCAAAATAAAAAGGGCAACAGGGTACTACTCAGGAACCTAGTTCCAGTTTCTAGATGTGCAGGGGTCAGGGTTAGGAGAGACGCCAGGCAAGCACTTGGCTGACTTCTGAACCCCTCCAAAAAGTTAAACTTTTCGTCTCCTTATTATAGTTATATAAAAACCCAAAAAAGTTAAACTTTTAGTCTCCTTATTATAGTTATATAGAAGCCCAAAAAGTGAAAGTCCTAAGAGCCAACCAGAAGAACACCAAAAGCAGGCAACCCTGTACGGAAAACTGTACCCTGGCAAGAGGCATCAAGACATCGGAGCCGGAGAAAACAGTGCCGCACCCATGACACAACTACGCCCTGATTGCCAGCCTAAAACCCGAATCGTAGACCGCAACCCGTACATCAAATCGCAAGCCCTCCTCGCAGCACAGTAATACTTCCAACAGCAAAGAGCCCAACGAAATGCCATGCTGGGCAAGCCGGAGCCCTGTGTGTCGATGAAGAGAAAGACCTGGAAAACAAACTGCTTAGCAAACGAATATAGGGGCCTTAATAACTAGAACAGGGTTTTGGGGTATACTATACCACAACTAGAATAAGACCCCGAAGGTAGCATCGGTAATTATTTAGGCTTCTATATTGAGGACCTCGGCTTGGGTTTCTGGGGGCTTGGCAGCACTATTCAGTATGTAAACCTTTAGATGTAGAACTAGAAAGCCCCATGGCGTACTGCTGCGATTACTCGACGATATATTTCGAAAGTCATAGAGAATTATAGGAGCCGTGATAATTTGAATTAGGTCTTGAGGTATACTATACTATAATTGCAAAAAG